TTTTAAAAATACCTTGGAAAACAACAGGTTTTGAAGACATGGAGGAAAAAGAGAAAGAGCAACCACTGCTTGTGACATACCTCTTCTGACTTTGCACCTACCAAGGATACAGAAAGATGGTTTCTCGATTTCCATGCATTTAGCTGTCTTAAAATTTTTCTCATTGTCACCTATCCCTGCTTTGCATTCCTTTCCAGGAAAGAGCAAATCAGGAGATAAGTGCACAGAGCCACATGTGAAAGTGCTTATTTTCAGTTATAGGCTATATTAAAGCAATAAATTCGATCTTGTGAGCCCCTTTGTCAGAATGGTGGAGCTGAGGTCTGCACTTGCTGCTGAAAGAAAATGAGAATTATGTGTCCTGGTAGTGCCTTGCACAGGCAAACATGGGATTTGGATGGTGCTTTTGAGAAAGCCCTGCCTGGAAATTAGGCTCTGGGCTTTTTATTTGGCAAATTTTAATTATATGAGAAATGATTATGCACAGGAGGAGAAACATGCTGCTTGCATCTTTCTGCCTCTGCAATTTTAGCTTGTGCACATGCAATGCCCTGCTTTGTCTATGCACCTCTCACCTGGTCTCCTACACAGTATTTTTTCTCTCCCTCCCAGGTCCCTGCTCTCTTCTCTCCCAACTACCAATGGTGTGGATGAATCCTACATTGCTGAGGAGGCCCTCAAGTTTGAGCAGCAGGCAGTAGTTGAGATAAGTAACCTCGAAGGTGCCCTTGTACAGGTATGGCATCACTCCCTGCCTGGGCTCAGGTCTGCAATGAGCTCTTGCTGCCCAGTGAGTACCAGGGGCACAGAGCTTGTCCAGGGGGATGCAGTGCCCTGGGAGGAGCAGGAACTGGGCTGGGCACTGGACATGTTTCCCACCAAGATGTCCCCATCCCTGAAGCTGAGCCAGCAGCATTAGCTGTGGGTGGAGGGAGGGCTGTTTCACCCTACAAAGTTGGTGCTGAACAAGGAGCTGAGAGTCTGGCAAATAGGGGCGATATGGGGAATCCAGTCAGGCTGCAAAATCTGCTCTTTTACTGACAGAGGAGGGCTTTTTCTCCTTAAAATGGCTTTTTTCATTTTGAAGGTGGAAGAGAAGACAGCTGAAGCTGCTGAAACCAATGCTGAAGGTATAACATGTAGCAGTATAACACCAAATGGGGACGAATCAAAGCAGGCAATGTGGTGCCTGATGGGAGGAGAATCCAGCTTCTCCTTCCCTGCTGTTGGGGAGCAGGCAGCTGAGTTCTCTGCAGCATGGGCCTGCATGGGCAGCTGGGGCTTTTCACTGGGGTAAAGCATCCCATGGGCACAGCATCCCGAGGGTGCAGCATGGTGGCAACGTTGGCATGGGCTGGAGCCAGCTCTGAATGGCTGGTGCTTGTGCAGTGCTGAGTCCTGCTGATTAAGCAATCCCTGACGTGAAATTAGGGTTTCTCCTTCAGCTGGAGAAAGTACAGGGATAAAAAGGATTTTCTCTACCACTTTGATTTGGGGAATAACAGGTGGCATAAAGCACATTTTAATGTAGCCTTTTAGGAAGCAATGGGTTGGCAATGAAAATTAGATGGTGAACTCCCATCACAGCCTGTGCGAGCAAAGGCAGGTCCTGGCATAACTGCACTGATGTCAGGGAGTTGCACAGGGAAGGGCTTGCCTTGAGTCTTGGTGCAGGCTGATGCAGACCATGCAGGGCACCCCCATTTTGCAGCAATGCTAGAAAATGCTGGTTCATCAGGAACTACAGTGATAGAACAAGGAGTAATGGGTAAAAATTGAAGGAGGGGAAATTTAGGTTAGATAAAAGGAAGAAATTCTTTATTGTGAGGGTGATGAGATACCAGAACAGGGAGGTTGTGGATGGCAGTGTTCAAGGCCAGGCTGGATAATGCTTCGGGCAACCTGGTCTAGTGGGAGGTGTCCCTGCCCATGGCAGGGGAGGATGGGACTAGATGACCTCCAAGGTCATTCCAACCCTTAACATCCTGTGATTCTACGAAGAGGGCACAGCGGGACGGCCACCACTGCAGCCCTGTGCTGCCAACACCTGTGAGCAGCGGGGCAGCCCCAGCGCCCGCGGCAGCCCCGCGTTTTTTTTTAACCTCGACGTAAAACCACTCAAAACCACTCTGTGTTTTGTTGCAGCTTCAGATGCCTTGTACTTTGCTTGAAGCACCTAGGCTCCTAGCAGCATGGCCAGGCGGGCCCGGGACGTCGAGCTAGACCGGCTGGTGCATGACAAGCCGCTCGATGGCGGGGAGCCCTCCCCTGCCAGCCGCGGGGCCCTAGAGCTGCTCCCCAATGTCCCCAGCTACCGACCCGCCGCCGCCTCCCGCGCCCCCGTCCCTGCCGCCAGCAGGCCAAAGGCCGGAGTTGTCAACCCCAATTTTTGCCATGAGGAGCAGTCCCCTCTAGGTATTAGAGATGAGTTGGCTTTGACGACGGGCTTTGCATAGAGACGGGCAGGGGGTGGCTCCCGGAGTAGTCGCTTTTCGTTGCTTTCGGAGGGAGGAAAAAAAAATAAATAAATAAAAGCATGCTTCATGTTGCAGCACAGAGGCTGGGGGAAAAAAAAATCCATGTGTTTTCTGCTTCTGCTTCATCACTATGTGCCTTTTTAGCTAACTCTACAGAGCGTTTGCAAATGCTGTGTGTTTTGACCTTCTCTGTCAAAAGCTCTCCCGAAGGACCTGCAGGCAGAGGGTGCAATATCACCACACACACTGTTTTCTCTCTAGCATTCATGCAACCTGCTCATACTACGAGGACAGGAAGGTGGAGGCTTGCTG